AAAAGAAAAGAAAAGAAAAGAAAAGGATTGATGTAAAACTCAGTATCTAAAAGTCATCATAATGATTTCTAGCTGTCTACCTTCGCTCTTTCTTGTCAGTAGGCCTGTTGATATCCCGAAAAATGTTTGACAGGACTCCATCTGTCCAGTCTCGTGTGGTAGGGTCAAGGATCCCATACAGTTCAATCACGCTCATAGCTTTAGGGTTCAGCGTGTAAAGCTTTGTCAATAATCCCAGCCTAGAGATACAGCAAGAAAAGCAATATTAAAATGATACAATACCATCTCATGTTAACCCAAGCAAACATTATGGCCAGCTATTGATCTTGTCATGACTACGCAGGGCTGAATAATGCAGTCTATGGCTATTTTACAACCAGATTTCCATGTATCAAATTCTATACTCACTTGTTTTGGGCCTGGCACAAAGCGTTAATGACAACTGACTTGCCACCTCCAGTAGGTCCAACTACCATTGTAGTGTGACGAGTTAACATTGTCTCATACATCTGAACTACTTTATCCACCTGAAAAATAAATATTGATTCAATAGACTGCTGTCCATAATTCTTCTGTGGAAATGATCAGCAGCTGGTCCATACTAGCTAAGCTTTCCCGGAGCCACTCTAGAGTGCAGCAATGCATATCCAGCCTAATGTTTACAACAAAAACTCAAGCAATTAACATTTCTTATACCTGGACTGGTAGAACAACATAACCCCCTTCTTCCAGCACTTGTTCTACAGCATCATTAAAGTTAGGATAGCGGACTCGAGGGCAATCCAGGCCAGGAAACAGGTCAGAGATTAGGCCAAGGAAGAGAGGTACATCTTCAAACACAAATTTAGGAAGATTCATATCTCGTAGAGCTCTCATCAGTACAACTTCCTAAACAAAACATAGTAAAATCAATCTTCACCAAATAGCTAACCAATTATCTAATATGTAGTAACTTCCAACATCTCTAAAAACTATGGCCTGATTACTTTAGTAACAGCTTTGAGAATGTTTTCTTGGCATCAGTTACTAGTGGAAACAAAGGTTATTTTATAAGGTTTAAGCATACCAATAGCTAGGAATCATTCACTGCCTTTTTCTACCATATTAACCAAATGCCAAATGGCTGGAGTGGCCCACACCACAGCTTCCCTGACTGGATGTTAAAAATAGCCAACTGTTTTATGAACACACCCAAGTTCTGTAGTGCCCATGAGAACATCATTTAGACCCCAACTTTCTGCCAACCTGCAATGTGAATCTGTGCTTAACTTTATAGGAGAGCTTCCTTCAGCTGTCTTCAAGTTTTAAAGAAGAAATTTGAGTAAGAATTTCCCTAGGCAACTGGGTATCACAACCGTACATATAAAAATAAAAAATAGGTGTAAAAGAAAGCCACAAAAAACAATACACAATTAACAACTGCACGACTGGAGCACTCACCGTTCAAAATCCAGCTTTTACTACTCATCCAGAGACACTGATCTGGCTATTTGGATCCTGGACTTAACAGGGAGTAAAATAACTAATTTTCTACAGATTTTCCAACTTTGACTTGAGTTCTGATGGTAACTTGCTGGCAGAGGGCATGATGAAACTCAGGACAAAGCGAAATAATAAGACAAATAACACCAGTGTTCCTATTTCCAATGCAAACTACAGCAAATGTGTAAAAACATCCTCTTCCTAGAAAAAGATGATCTGCTCAAAGTAACTAAGTAGCAAATCTACCTCACTGAGGTCTGCGGATCCTCTTTTCAGTTCTCCAGCCATCACCAACACTGACTTAAGGGCCCGCAGTCCAAAATCATAATGATGCTGTTTAGAAAGTTGTTCCTTTGCCAGCTTGTATAGTACTGTCATCTTTTTGGCAAGCATCTGTTTGAGATTAAAGTTAGACAATCACAAGTGTGTAAGTCACAACCAAACACTGGCCATGCATACATGGGTATGGGTAGCAATAAAATTTTCTTACCTTTGCCATAAGGAAGCCTTCAGAAAAGAGCATGATTTCACAGATTTGCTGAAGATCTGGTACAATAACAACCACAGGCCTGAACAAAGCTTTTACAGACTCAGGGAGCTCAGTCCGGCCAGCATAACCAGGATTCATCGTAATAAAAATGCCCATTCGGCTGTCAAGGGTAATCTCCTGTCCTTCAAACTAAAAGCATAAGTAAACATTAGAACAATGTGTATTTGAAATTGAAATAAGTAGTACTATTTGCTCAAAGGGAAAAACGGCAATACTGGGGCACCCACTTAGGACAACATGTTAAAATATTTAGCTTTAGATAGTCATCCAGATACATTCATCCCACTGCTCGTAGCTTGCATATAAACATCAAGACATTCACACTTCTTGATCAAATTTTCTGTCTGAGGGTTTTGAATTCCAATAAACATCAGTAAATAAAGCCTCACAATCCACATAAAGTTAAGTTACTCCTCTCCCTAATAACTGCTATACTATTATCCCATTCACTTACTACTATCCTATTTGGCTTACTTTTATCCCACTTCACAAAGGAAGAACCTAGCAAAGGATTAGGAAATCAGCAAGGATTTAACATCTCTGAAACTGAGAGTACATACTCTGGAGTTTGAAATGTTCAGCACAAATGAATTACAGAAGAAGCCGCCCTTTGGTCTAATCATAGGGTCTAACCCTGAATCTTGGCCTCAAAAACAAGATCAGCCTTCACAATGACTTTTTTTTTTAATATTTACCTGAAATGTTTTCAAGTGATTCATTAAAGCATTTCGAATAGTCTGAATCTGAGAAGAAATGACTGAAAGCACAGAAGCGTCAATACGATTGAATTCATCAAAGCATCCCCATGCTCCACATTGGGCAAGACCAGAGAAAATTTTACCGACAGCCTAACAAGAACAACCAGAAAAACATCTCAGCAATGAATACATAAAACATTCAGTGTCAACAAACATTGGAGTATGCTAAAATTCTTAATGGCTGGGTAAAACCTCTGGATATTTATATATGCAGGAGCTAGCAATCTGTCATAAGGTCTTGCAATAATTACTCGCCAAGTGCATATTGCCTATGATGACCTTAAACATGTATCATCTAGCCATTGCTCCTCTGCTTGAAAGCACCTGAAATTCCTTCAGGAATTTATTCAAAATAGACATTTTTTACTATATTTCATTATCAATTGGCAGGGTATCTCTAAGGGAGGCACATACTCAGAAGTTCAGAATACGTCCTCATCCTGGGCACTGAAAAAGAGCAGTAACTGGCACTTTATCAGAGAACATAGGTCTTTAACTCTTACTTTGAAATCCATGCCTTCTCCGCAGTTTGTCACTACACACAGCAAGCCCAGTGCTTTGGCCAGATCCTTGGTTGTTTCTGTTTTCCCTGTACCTGCTGGCCCTGCTGGTGCTCCTCCCAAAAACATTGATAAAGCCTTTGGAGACAGACCAAAAAGCAAAGCAAAGCTTGGATTACATTTATATTAGGTTGGTAGCAAAATCATAAAACAACCCTTGGGTATAAAAAACCTTATATTTTATCTACATTCTACATTGTCTTTGAGGCAATCAGGTTGGAAGGATACCACAACTGATTTCAAACATGTCAGTGATCACATTGGCATCTAGGAGATAACAGGAAATGGCAATAAAACAATTATGTGATTGCCTAGAAGTGTATTTTAAAAGGGCTTATTAGTAAAAATCTCCTTGAACATATACCTGTGTGAGTGTAAGATAAATACGATCTGTAAGCGGGGTGATCACCAGACGTCCGTTCAAACCCATATACTCGTAACCATATGAAAACGTGCCTGTGCATTGCCGAACATTCAGTTCATCTGGCTCTCGGTCCCAGTAAAAACGCAGCTGGCTTTCCCATTCAAACTCCTGAGCCTGCAGAATGCTACACAAGAGAGACTTGCTCAGGTGAGGTAAAAGGATGGAAATACAATTCATGCATTTGGTATTTTCTCAATAGGTTGGGGGCAGTCTTTACCTGTCTCTTACAAATGTATCAACAATGTCTCTGGCATGAACATCAATAATGAGAACAGTGTTGTATTTTTTCCTGTCATTTTTGCTCAAAGGCATTGTAATGCGGGTAACCAGGTCATCGATTTGCTTATGCATTTTTTTAGCATAAAGTTTCATTGCCTGTTTTTCTCCCTTCTTCACTTTCCGAAAGACGTCCTCTACCTCCCAAGTCCACCACACCTGATTAGCAGCCAGCACCATCATGCCTTGGTAGAGTAACATCCAATCAACTCTGTGGGAAATACATATAGTGAGGAAGTCTGAGTTACTGTTTAGTCTAAGTAATTGATCAGGACAGAAAAACAGAAAAAAAAATTAGTTCCTCCTCCTATTTCTGTAACAACTACAACATCAGCCAAACTTTACAGAGTTGTACAGAATTCTGTCAAGGTGTGCTGGAGTATTTCAAAACCCTAGGAGACACTCGATGGAATTCATAGTGAGAAAAACATACTGTGCATACAACAGTAAAAATAAAACCTCAAGATTTAGGAAATTACATATGATAGATACCACATTTTTTTTCTGGTCAGTTAAAATACTGCATATGCATGTATTCATGTCCCTCCACATATGGAAATACAGGCTAAATTGTGTAAAAATTAAAAAATTAAGTCTTCATTTTGCTTTATCACTACAGGCTCATAAGAAAATATAAGATATTTGTGTTATCCTTGACACTGATTTTTTCACCTGCTTCTGTCTTCACAGTATCGAAAAATAGCTTCCTTAGTAAGGAGTCTGTTTGTTCGTCTCATTTCTGCTAGCACTGCTGTCATCCAGTTCTCCACTCTGCCTTCTGCAGCTACAGCCTGCCGGAACTCCATCACTTCCCCCTCAGCTGAAATCATGGCTGTTGCAATTTTCTCATCACTATCACCATCCTGAAACCTCAGGGAGGCTATGTTATCATACATCTGAAATGCACCAACAAAGAAACTCATTGGCATTTTAGAAACAAAGCTTCAAAGATTTAAGTGTATCTAGGTCCCATTTAATCTTGAAAGAAAATTTCCATGGACTCTAAAGAGAAATGGATCTGACTCTAAGTCATCAAATACAAATGCTGATACATAGCTCAGCAGCCCAACTGCAGAGTAAACAAGCAGATGATCTGGTCCAAATTACATTGACTTTTTTTCTAGAAAATAAAGATCTATTAGTAGCTACAGGAAGGTTCTTTAATGATTGATCATTCTAGTGCATCTTGAATGTTCCTCTACCAGTGTTCCTCTACCGTAACTACTACTGGCCAGTATGAGAGCCAGGAAAGATTATCAATCAGATTTGATTTGGTTATTCAGAAGCTTCTTCAAGAAGCTGCCAGGATGCCCTTTGTGTGCAATAAATACTAGTGTACCCTTAAGAGCATGTACAGTATAGTCTGTTAAACTTTTTAAAGCACCCAAAAGCACAAGGCACTGTGGAAGCCAGACTTTGTACCTTTATCATGTGTTCCTGGACACAAAGTGGGTTACTGCTGCCTAGGATACTAAGCAACTCATCATCAGATATAAAGAAAAATCTTGGGAAAGCATTTCGCTTGGAATCCAAATAATCGTTTAAGCTTTTCTGACATTTCTCCAGCACATCACTTATATGATGGAGGTCTGATAGACGATTTGGGGCTTCACAGGAATTTTTTATTGTTGGTTCTTTTACAGTTTCATCCATTATCTACATAGGGAGAAAAGAAAGTTTAGAAAATACTGAACAGCAATGGATTATACTAAATTACACTTAACTAGTGCCAAAGCACACAAGCAGCACAAGCAGTATAGGCTCTTAGAGAATTGGATTAGACAGTTTTAAATATGATTTCCTGTTGCTGCAGTAATATACGAAAACATGGAGAGAGCATGCTTTCAAAGCAGAGAGCATGAAGATACTACTGTAAAAGCAAGTGAAGCAAGACGAGCCTGTATCCCAAGTCATGCAGGCATACACATATACCTGACTTTGCTCCTGTATACAGTGGGACTTCAGGTGAAGGACAGACATAGCATTTCAGAATTACAGTACCATCGCAATTTTGCAGATGGGAGAAAGAAAAGTAAGCCGTGTTCACACTGGGAGGATGTGTTCAGTATGGGAACAGTGGCATTATACCAGCAAAGTCTTTTTAGCATGTATGTAGATCCTCAATCTACAGCAACACATCTAAGCTTCTTATTATCATGGTAAAGGTAAAAAGATGTATCCAATGAAAGGAAAAGAGGATTCTGTCTGCCCTGTACTGCCAGCCAAGGATCACACCTCTGTCCAGTTTAGCTAAATCAGGAGAAGTCTTCGTTTATGACATGTGAAGTGAAACATGAGTTCCTGGGTTCCCCAATCTCATATTCAATGCAGTATAACATATGATACTATTCTCAGTGTTACAAATGACACTGAAGACTACAGCTAACTATGGAACTGGAAGCAAAATGCACTCAATAATTATGCTGGTCATAAGTCAAGTCAGTTACTTGCCTTTTTAAACATCCTGTCTACGCTGTCAAATATTTTGGCTTCCTCTGGAAGCTGTGATCTGATATCTCCACCAACAAAGATGCTCTCCAGGTACATCCATTTTCTCTGAACCACCATCCAGATCTAAGAATCAAATGTTATCATCAAAGAAAAAAAATATACAATAGAAATCCCTGATTATAGATAATAAGCATTAATTATTTAGTCCAGCACTTTCCTCCCTACCTCAATTACTTCACCAATCAATGACAGAGTTTTTTCCCAGTGGTGAATGGTTGAAAGGAAAGGACCCACAAATCGACTGCCCAAAACACTCTGAAGATTGACATTGTTGTCATCCAGAATCTCTAAAATTTCATCTACAGATCCCAGAATAAAGCCCCGCTTCTCAGTGCCTTTGAAGTACATTTGTACAGTGAATTTCAGGTGTTCCCATGTTTCTGCTATTTCCTTCACACCCTGCATGTGAGCATAAAAAGATGCATTTTTCAGTCTTCAAAATCTAGACAACTATAATCTTAGCATAAAAATGAAACAATTAATTCAGCAAAATTTTTGCACAGATTTTCTAACTCTGGTTTATAAAAAAGGATCTACTTCAAAACATCATGATGGCAACAGAATGGATGGTTCTTCAGGTCCTGTTTCATAGGCCAAACTTGCTTATTGTAAGAAATCCAATACACTGCTGCCAAAGCCAAGATAGCTAGGATTCTGTGCCCTGTGGTAGCTTATTAACAGAGCTATTGATCTTAGTTGCCATCAGTTACATCATGGCACCTCCCTGAAGACGGCTGAACTTGCAGTTGTGTCTATATAAAAATCTCATATAAAACACAGACTGTTATCATCTCTTTTTAGTTTTATTATGATTTTTTACAATACCTTCTCAATGCTAAGTTCCTTAACAGCAGTTCCGACTATTTCACTGATAACATCTGAGTATCTGTGAAGTTCCATGGCGAACATATTCTCCAAAGTGAATGTTTCTGTTGTCATTTCAAAACTTGTTCCTGTTCTCTCCATAAGGTCTTGCCAATGCCTGTTTTAAATGGACACATCAACAATTGTACCAACCACCATGATACAGTAAAGATGAAAATAACTGTAATTGAAAATATAATAATGAAACTATGTTTAGCACTCTATTGTTTAAACAACAACTAGTATTGTGAATACATAAAGTATCCTAGTCATCGTAGTCACTTTGCATGCTATTACACAATTTCATTAAGCAGAAAGCGAAGTTTCAAGCTGCAGGACATGGCATGACCCCAGTAACTGAAATTAAAACTTCTAACAAAACAAACAAGATCTTATATATTGAAAACGGATTTAAATAAATCAAAGCAAACCTTTCTCTTAAAGCTTCATTTTTCAAATCAAGCAACAAAGGAATGGAGTCTCGAAATGCCTTCATTTTTGTTTCCAAGTGAAAGGCTACTGGCATACTGCGTACTTGTTTGGGCAGCTTTCGAAGGGCTTTAAGAAATCCTTCAATTCCTTCCTGAAGAAACTGGACATTGAGGTTTATCCAGAGTGTCTGAGACCATTCCTTTTTAGCTGCCTGGCAATAAGGTCATCAGGAGGTAAAAAAACCATATTTCCTTTTAGTTCTGACCAAAAAAGAAAAATCTTTCCACTACAGTAGGATCTAGAGACCACAGTCAGCATACAGATGTAACTGCATTAACATTTTACAAACAGAGGAAGAGACAGGTTCATGTCCAAGACAAATTCATAGCCAAACACAACCAGTTGTATAAGAAATAATCAAAAGGAAAAATGGAGAACAGGAAAAGCATCCTTAAGAGGATGCCCTACTTTACAGGGCATTTTAATTTTGGAAAAATATTATTAAAACTTATTAAAAATAGTTAAGATCAGTTCAAGCCTGACATAATCCATTGTCACTTGTGCATATACTATATCCAAAGTAGTTCCACTGAAACCATCAGGAGACTTGTGCAGTAAAATGCCACCCAATAATTACTAGGCAGGGAGGATATCCTATCTGATAAGAGTATGTGTTTGATCCACTATGGAGGCATTGCTAGTCCTGTAGTAACATCATTAAAATAATTTCATTGTGAAAGTCAATTACAGGTCACAGTTTATTTCATGCAGAGGCTTAGAACAGTTGATAGTAACTAGAGAACAATGCAGCCTCTTGTTCTCTCCCCCACCATTTCTGAATGTATGTGCATGAATATGTGTGTGTCTGTGTATACACAGTGCAATACTTACTCTTTGTAATTCATAAATTTCATAGATCTGCTTTAAACCTTTCATATCATTCTGTGCTTTCATTAAGTCAGGATACACTGTAACTGGCAAGTCAAAAAGTTTTTCAGCACTGCTCAGTTCCTGATGATTTTGTTCCAGTTTTTCCACTTCTTTTTCAAAAATGGCCATGAGTTCCAATCCTGTGAAAGGAGAGGAATTTTTCTAGATAAACTATCCCATAGATCATGGTGAATAAATAAGACAGCATTTGCATATAGTCTGTAGAAGTTATAGTACTAAAAATGTCACACTCCTGGTTGATCAGTTTGTATGTTAATAGCGAAAGGACAATTTTCTTGTTTTACATAAACTTTGAAGAATTGTCTGAAGAATAATATTTTTAAGACATCATTTTACACACATTAATCCATTTACCTTCATCAAGATTTTCCCCAACAGCACCAGGACCCTCGGTCACGAATTTATGGAAGAAATCTTCTATCTCTTTGCTGTAGTCCTCAATTTGTTGCTGTGTAATCTAAAGAGAACAGAGTTTAAATTGTCTTCCTTTCCATTTCTATTTTTTTTCAATATTAATTACAAGTATTACCTTTGTGAATTTTCTTTTTATGCCTCCAAGGTTGTGATCAACTTCTGATGCTTCAAATAAGAGAGTCTCCCATTTTTCCTTAATATTGTTGGCCATCTCTTGCTCTTCTTTAGCTACCTAAACCAAAACAAGTAAAATCTCTCACAAGAAATAATTAGTCACAAGAAAGCAAGGAATATATGCTTACATTATAAATTTGCAAAACAGAAGATCAGCACTGAAGTGATCTGAATCAGATTTAAACAGATGTAATACGTCCATTTTAAAAGGGAGATAGTGTTTTGAGAAGGGGGTTTGGACTAGACAATCTCCAGACATCCCTTCTAACCTCAACAATACTACGATTCTGTAAAATGTCTTAAAAGGAAAACATTTATTCTGTCACATGTGAGGCATTTGTGCCCCTAGCTCAAATGTGAAACGTTTTATCAGACAAGGCATAACATGCGCTTACTGGAATATTGTACATTGCAAGAGTTCGGTATCTCTCCTGGATGTCCAAGTATTTCAGTTCCACCTTGAAGGACATGCCTTTGATCTCTGCAATTGTATCAAGGACAATTTTGAGATCTTCCAGGGAATCTGGAGGTCTCATAAGACTCTGTGATAAGCTCTGCAAGAAGTAAAAATCATCTCCAGAAGCAATACTTACAAAGCAATTCGGCAGAATTATAATTATTAGTCACACACAAACCACAAGTAAGTAACATGCAGATTCATTTTCATTTTTAGTCTGTGTGATAAAGATAACACACACATCTACAAAAAGTCAACAAAAAGTAAACTCCAGTACAGGGAGGATGTTTTTGCCACAATAAAATAGAAGTTTTAAGCGGCAGTTTAAAGGGAACTTCAGAATTACCAGCATGAACCTTTCACCAGTACAGGAGTGAGAATGTCCTGGGTTTTCATGTTACTACTCTCCCCTGTTTCCCAGCTACAGAGAGGTACAGCTCACCTCTTTACATAAGACATATCAGAATACACTAAATAGTTTCAACCAATTTGGAACGTGGTTCAGATCATCACCTACTAGTCAGTGCTAGCTACATCAGACGACAGGAACTGAAAACATCTACCTGAATCTCCTCCTGGAGACTGAAGAGTTCCTCTCTTGCTGACTCGTTAAGCAACCTTCCAAGTGAGACCACCCAGCCTATAGCATTCTCCTGCACTGTGTAGGCTAAAGGAGCCAGCTGAAGCCTGATAAATTGCTCATCTTTAATCAAGGGCTGTTGAGTTACTTCTTGAGCTACCTTCATATAAAACTGTAACTCTTCATCAAAGGTGACACAAGCAGTTTTTTCTGCAGCTAACTTCTCCATGACAATGCTTTTGTCTAATTTCCAGAGCAGGTGGTACCTCTTCCATTGGTTCAAATACTTGCTGAGAGAAGCCAGGAGTTTGTGGACATTCTGAGTGATGAGAACAGCCTGTTCAATTATCAGAGGGTTCTGGGAGACGTCATTGTAAAAGCTGAAAGTGATAATTTCATCTTCCTCGACACGCTGAGGAGGGCATTCAATACATGTACCATGCATCCATCGTACAAAATGCTAGAGTTTTCAAGACAGGGTTGAAAAACAGTTACTTTGTTCAGAGTCATTTTAATCAAATCATTCATAGAATCATAGAATCATTTAGGTTGGAAAAGACCTTTAAGATCATTGAGTCCAACTGTTAACATAACACTGCCAAGTCTCACTAAACTATGTCCTAAGCCCCACACCTACACATCTTCTAAATACCTCCAGGGATGGTGACTCAACCACTTCCCTGGGCAGCCTGTTCCAATGCTTCATAACCCTTTCAGTGAAGAAATTCATCATTATTTAGCAGACAATGTAGGAAGTGGTGTGAATAATTTCACAAATCAATTGCTTTTCTGACAGCAAGAAAAGAGATTACATTTTCCCATAAACTTGAGAGAAGAGTTAATTTCATCCTAACAAAACCTTGCTTTTAAAATCTCTGCTGAGCAACTATATAGCATGACACCGAGAAACAGGTAGTAGGTCAAACAGGTGGAATACAGCAGTGGAGCAGAACAACAAATCTGAGCATAGGATGCACACTTAATCTAAATTTATTCATTTCAGGTGACATCTGGAATCATTGCTCCATTAGCACAGGACAGGAACACTGCCATGATATTTGGCTTCTTTTCTGGAAAGCAGTTCAATGTGAACATACTTATACAGGGAAATATCGCTACATCTTTGCCAGCAAGCTAGATAGTTCATCTGCTGTAAACCTGCTGTCCTAGATGTGTCCTAGATGCCCTTCTCCCAACATTTTCTGAACTGTTTTTCTGTTGGTTTTGAGGAGAGTCGTAACACAGAGAAAGCTGCTCACATCTCACATTGCTTATTCCACCAGCTTATTCATACATCAGAAAGCAGCACCTGCACCGCAATCTGAAAAGTCTTTCCTTCTGATGCATGTGGATTTATAGAACCAAATCATGTCCTTATGCTGCCAAAACTGCTGACAAGTAATAAATAATTTTGCCTGAGTAAAAATTGCATGAAGCTTTATGGCAATTTTTTTTCCTTTGTCATCAGCTTGTAAAATTAGGCCAGTCTGTAAAATTAGAGCAATGTACTGGATATTTTGATTTCAAGATAAAACAATCTGAATCTTCCCTTTGACACTTATGCTTGCCCAAACATAAAGCAAGATTCATTCATTATAATCACAAGCAAACTCGGGTAACAAGTAAATCTTAATCAAAAATCACCTTAGTGACCTCAACACAGTCTCGGATACATTGTACAGTCATTTTGTCAATCTCACTGGCATTAGGTTGCAAGATTATCTCGGGAACAGATAAAATAGCTTCTGTTTGGAACAGTGGCACGTTAGCAAGAACAGCTGCATTAAAAGTCTGCAAATTCCTGCGAAAGGAAAAAAATCGTCAAAGATAGTAATAATCAGGTACTGGCCCCCACGGAAATGCTCAACAGAGACTGCAATTATCAGGTATGTGCTTAGATATACAAGTAGATCTGTATTCTGTGTCCAGATAGAGTATCAGTATACATACTGATCAACAGATCCAGAAAACCCACAAGATGAAAGACTGAAAATCCATTAAAGCAAACAATTGACTTACTTCACAATTAACTGTGTCAACACCTGATAAATCCTATTTTCCCAGTATGCATAATAGGAAGTTAATTTTGGAGATTTGCCACTGTTCGTATTGCCAATTTGTCCTTCCACTTTCATTAGCAATTGTGGAATGGCAGTATACTTTCTAACCATGTGTGCCACATCTTTTACTCTTTCACACTTAACATATTCAAAAAATTCTTTCGCTTCTGCAAAAGACACAAAAATTAGCATTATTAACTGCAAAAGGCCTAACAAACTAGCATACTGGAATAATGAGCTGGGCTTTATTTGTGAACATGAACTTGATCTTGTATACTGATTAAAAATACCTTCACTTATTAATGCTTAATTTATTAATATTTCAGCCCTCTGATTTTATATGGATTCAATTATTTAATAGCAACCATTAGATATGAAAATAACCTTTTTAAGACTTACAAAGCATTGAAAGAAATTTGGTCCACCACCCACTCCCTCAAGTGAAAAAGAGACCTGGGAGACAACCACCTCACCGCAATTTCCATCTGATGAAACCAGCTCAGTTCAGATGGCCAAGAAGGGAGCTGACACTCCATGCAGATTGCAGCTCTAAGACTACACTACTGCATACAAGAAGGATAAGGAAATCAAGGGAAAGCTAGGGGGAAAGTGATCAAAAGCAAGGTAGACACAAGTCAAATGATCTATTTGTATACTCGTCTTTATGATTCTTTCATTGCCACCACCAGCTTTAGAGTACTGAAGGTCTGCTTGTGATTCCTCTGTTACACCATGAAATACTACCGTAACTAGTTTTGGTAACAATTTAAAGGGTTGATTGTAGCAACTAAAAATGCAAAGTAGCAGACAGAACAAAATAAAACATCGCAGAACTTGGAAATGAAAATATAAAGACTTACTAGGAAGTTCATCACCATTTTTTGAAAGTGGAAACTTAAAGAGATTTGTTGATTCTATTAACAGAAGTTTGTTGCTTATGTCTTCAGAATTATTATGAATCTGATGGACAAGTGATTCAAACTTCCTGATGGCTTGTGTACATCGGACAATAAAGTCACCAATACCTTGAAATAAATCACAACCATTTGTTTTTTTTCTTTTAACAAGTATTTCATCAGTGCATCAAAATTGCCACACCCAGATGTGTTTTATCTCTGAGAATGAACTGATGCTCTGCAGATAGATTAGATGATAATCCTTCATCTACCTCCCTTGCAGCTGTTATCTAAGGGTCTCTATCCATTTCCATTCAGTCCTTTAAATATAATACAAACGTAAGAAATACCCTCCAGGATCAGAGTCTGTCTAACCTACTATTCTGACCCTGACCATGGCAATAGGATGTACCATTTAGGGATACATTGCTGTCATATGACATCAAAAATATATTGCAGAAAATCAGTATCTAAGGCCATTTTAAAATAGTATCTCCATTACCTAAGGAGTTCCAATTGAGTCTTCTGTGCCCTGATTTGAACACTCTCCAGAGTTCTTGAATATGGTCATCAAGAAGTTTCGTTTCTGCTTCATTCAGTGTTCCCATTAATTTGTGATAGTGATCCAGCATGTTTTTCAATCTATTTGTATACCTAAGGAGTGTAAGAAACACACCAACAACAAAACATAAAAATCATGATTTTCTGGACATACAGCTCTGAATTCAGATCAAAGAGCAGATCACTTCCATCATTCTGTTCAGACTTCCATATAAAGCAAAATATGCAGAAATAACTACTGAATGTGTATTGATTATAAATGTAATTTATTTCCTATTGAAAACAAAAGAAAAAATTCGTATGGCTCCAATAGTAGCTTGACAAACCTCTCCTGCCTCAAGTCAGAAAAAGTTTTTAAGACAGCCTCAGTTTGAAGCACGTAAGTGAACTCAACAGGTGAACTTTAAAATCCAGCTAGGGCTCTTATCGGCATACCTGTGTGCTAAGTGCCTGTGATAATTTGGGCAAAAGTGACTTATCCAAGGCTATACGAGAAGAAAGCAGCAGTGAGTTTAAATATGAGCTGAAATCTGAATGGCACTAACAATTTGTTGCAAAACAAATTACTTTCCTTGTTTTTCCTCAGATTTTGATGTTAATCTGTGTAACATAGTCCTACAGGGTAAAGGATGCAGACAGCACCAGAGAAAAGTTTGTTAGTGCAATGTGGCCATTAGTAATTTTACCCTTAAAAAAAAGTCACTAAGTGCTCTCACATTTCCAAAATTTGACGACTCAGGGCCCATTCCCGTTTGGAGTGAAATCATTTGAAACACTGCCATAACTCTGTATGTGAGCAGATATTCTGTTACAGCCTTACCTGAGATATCTGTCTTCCTGTAATGCCACATATCTTGCTATTTCTGGGACTGGAAACCCTAGTTGTTCCATGTACTTTGTTTCAACGATAATCTCTTGGAGCATGGGAGAAAAATTTACTATGAAGTGGATACTTTTCTTTGTGGTGACAGGCTCCTCTGTTAGAGAGCTCTACAACACAAGAAAAAGCAGCAGCAAAGAGAGCAACACTGAACTGTTACAATGCTCTTGAGGACATTTGGTAAGGCAACAGGTAAAAATCAGGACAGCTGACATTCAGAGCTTGTGGAAATGCCTTTAAAATTCAATAGGAAGCAACCTCAGCTTTCCAGTTTCAGAAATCATACACAACTACCTCTTCAGTGAAAGGGTTACAAGAAACAAACCAAATATAACCTCTGCTTCCATATGGCTGCAACCAGGTACAACAGAAATCCCAGTGGAAGTTCACAGTCAGACAAAAGTTTAGGTAGAACAGGATTCTGCATCATCTCTGCTGGGAACCTACCTCTGTCTAACTCAGGTCCAAATTTTGTTGTAATGTGCCAAAGATGTTGCACTAAAATCCCCAAATTAACAGGAATTACAGCACAGAAAAACACACAGAGAAACTACTTTCATCCATTTGCCAGGTCATTCAGCAATTATGTCTTATAAAGGACCACAAACAATTCTGAGCTCAGAAGTTTTGAAATTTTCCTTTCAAAACCTGTGTTTAAAATATTCTTCAAAAAATCTCACTGACCATCAGATAGGTTTCAGCTCGTCCCCACAGAGAAGTGTGGTATACTATCTTCCTATATCTCACCTGCTCAGAAGTCTCTGGATTAACATGGGTTGCAGCCCCACCAGTGATGACAGTCAGCAGAGTATTTTTCAGTAACACTGGGAGTATCTGTTCTGTCCCATCTCTCCACTGATTGTATTTTTGATCTTCATACTCTTTCATCCTCTTGGCCACCTGAAGATATATTTGCTTTACCTAGAAAGGAAAATTCTGTATAATTAAAGACTATGAGAAATGTTCAACTAACTTGAGTTAATAAGGTATCTCAATATGGTTTCTAATTTTTGTTAGATGAGAGGGTATGTAATGCCTTGTAATTAATACAGGCGATAGAGAATTTAGGCTCTTGAATTCTGTCATTGATTCCATCACTGCCTCTGGGAAACAGTGGGAAGGTCCCAATCAGCTTTTCATGTCTAACATGGCTTGCTGTGTGCAAAGACATTCTTGGAACTTCACCTCACAGAAGAGCACTTTCATATCTTTAGAAGATGGGTATGAAGAAAGTATTTCTTCCTTCATTAAATCTCAAAAGGACAAACATACTTCCTGTCCACGTTCACTAGCAAGCAACTCCTCTACTTCTTGAAATCGAATAATAGTCTGTTTGATCCGACAGAAAAGGGATCGAGACCAGTATATTGCTCCAGCCACTGGAGGATGATTCTTGTACAAAGGTGGATCCTTGAGGTTCTGAACAAAGATTTGCTTAACATTTTTGACCTAGAAGAAAATAAAATATTGCAAAGAATCATTTCTTCACTTGCTTGTCCATGTCAGTACACAGCACAAGCGCTGAAGCTAATTCCAGCAACAGGATAAAACCAATTCTTCTTTTTATTTTTCATGCATCTCTTGTTTGTATTAATTGCATTACAGAGAGTGTCTTCCTTTCTATATCTTGTAGAACTGCTATTGTGGCAGTGTTTTCTGTAAGACTACACTTTATCGTTAAACTCAATGTTCTTTGAAATATCAAGAAAAATGCTATGACATGAAAGGCTTTCCATCATAGAGTCTCCAATGTGTCAGAAATTATTTCTGTCTTCACAGTTGATCTCTGACACCTTTTGGTCATACCATGAACAACTTCTTGTCCATCACAAAAGAGCTGTAGGATGTGAAAGATGTGTTTTCTCAGGAAGGACTACTGTTGAACTGCTGTTCACAAGGTAAAGGAACAGCCACAAGCCTCGCTGCATGCAGAGTACATGCAAATATTTTTCAGTTCCCATGCAGTGCCACATGCAGATTATTATATATTCATATACAGATATGCACATCCATTTCAACAAATTAACCATACCATTTCTCCAACAGGCTCCAAAAAATGACAGCAATTATTATGTTTATTTCGTAAAACTTGTCAGTCTTTCAGATATTAAATGGCACTATGCAGGTATTTAGACATATACACAGATTTATGATTTTCACTAGGTAAAAAGCTTCATGTACTACATAAGAAATCCTTAAATTATATACCTCTTTACAGTATTGGTCCAAAATATCATTGAACTTCATCATCATCTGCTTATGAATGGTTTCACGAGAGTGGATGTGTTTGAATTTTAACAGCATGTCAAATGCAGCTTCTGCTGATCGAAGGGTCTTAAAAGATTCATCAATAAAGTTTTTGGTCTCTTCTTCAATAACCTAAACAAAAGAAGAAAGCCAAGAAATCCTATCACTTAGAGATTCATCTTGCAAAACCAAGAAAGGAAGGCAAAATGAAAATACTTCATTATAATTAGTGGTCAACCATATTTGCACTATTTTTTGTCCTGTAAATTACTAACAAACTCATGGCTTTCCAGTAAGCTGCAGCAAATTAATGTTAATTAATGTGTCTGCTTGGCAGGTATATAAATCACAAAAAAACATGGTAACAATTTGTACTTTGTAGGTATTCTTAGCTGAGGGGTGAAAGACTGAATCAATCCAGAAAAGGAACTTTTTTGTAGGACATGATTGAGACATGAATACAGGGCAGGATATGTAGCTGTTCATGCTGTAGTGATTCTGCCAATGAACAAAAGTGTGCTTCACCATTTTCAAGATAAAATGAAACTATAAACAAAAACAACTTGGAAACAGAATACGACTTAAAAAATCGGTCAAATTCCTCATATTTTCATTTACATATTTATTCATTTTTCTTTTGCAAGCTTACATTTACTTTAAATGAAAATGTTTATATTCTAGAAGGAATTTGTATATAGGAAGTAAGGGGGGGGGGATGTGACAGTATGTGGTACTTACTGAAACTTCTTCTTTAAATTCTTCCATAATAACTTTCCAGTCATGTGCACTTTTGATGCTAAAAGGGTCAAAAGTCAGTTCTTCCATAGGACTGGTTAGTTCATTTACTCCTCTCACTAGATCATCAATACGCTTTGGATCCCCTGTGACAGTTTTCAATTCAGGACTAAATATATTGTAAAACTCTTCAGTGATCTGTTAATTCAGAACATACCAGAAAGCTTTACTTTGAATGGTTTGAACACATCTATCTGATATTACTTCCTTTAAAAAATAAAAACGGCTCGAAGAATGATCAATTCGTGCTGTGATTTACATTTCATATATTTCCATACAAGACAGTAGCTTTATGGAAAAAAACCAAAACCACCACTCTACAGGCCCAACACTTCAGCTGTTAAAACAGATATTACTTGGTTATTACTCCTTTTTATTCTACTTTTCACATACGCAGTTTTTACATATACAGTCTATAGCATCTGACCATTGATAGACCACTAATATTTCTAGTTAACCTGACTTAAATTAGCCTAAATGTAGCATTTCTCCATTCATATGTTATGCTGCAATTGATATACTGATTCATATATGGTCAAATTTTATATTATAGTATACTTAAATGGTTATTTTATCTAAAGTTATATCATTAAGCTAGCAACCCATGAAAACTGCAAATCTGTGAAACAGTTGTTACAAGTCTGTATGTTCATAACAGGAATGTACACAGTAATATCTTTCCTCAACCAGTTATTTCGTCTCCAGCATTAAGTAAAGCTTTGTTGGAATCAAAGGCACTGCTCAGGTCTTAAACACAAAACCACTCACAGAACTAAAGGATGTTAACATTTCAACAACCACAATACAAAAGAATCTCCTCTACAGAGCATGACACTGATCATACAATCCCTTTATTTATTGTCTATATTACTACCTGCAAAATATCATACAGATCTTGACAGACTGAAGTCATGTAATCTGTTTTTTCAAATAAACGCTTTCGGTCAAATTCCCAGTGTTGCTCTCTTCCTGAGGCTTCAATCTGGGCACGAACAGCAAAATAACATTTCTTCCATTGTTCAAGAGCGCTTTTGGCTTCTGCTATTTTCTTTTTTGCAGCAGCTCTATCTTCTCTATTAATCAAATCAAAACAGTTAAGATACTATAAGATAGAAAGACTATAGATAGAAAATTATATTTCAACTAAGTTAATACACTCTGGTTTAGCAGCTTCTAATTATAAAAGATTTAGGCACAACTGTGAGGTCTTAATTTTCAGTGTGACTGATTTTGAAAAGAGACATTATTTCAGGACTGATTTTGACAATATTTATGCTTTTACCACTATAATTTTATTGGGTTTATTGATTTATGTCTTTTCAAGAAAAAAGAAGACAAGCACCTATTTCTTCAGGGCTGATTCAGTAATCTATGAAAATTACAAAATAAATTTCCTTTTAATTGACCTTCTAATACAATTTCAGACAGTGAAAAACGCTGAAACCTATTTGATGAAAATGTTATCTACTGCACAGCTTTTAATCAATACAGCCTAGATAAACAGGAATCCAATACTTACTTAAACAGTGTGTGTAAATCCACAACTTTGTACACTCTTGTTGAAATTTCCCATGCAATTCGTTCCATGAGGGGTACCATCCGTTCATCCGTGTTGTAATGCCGTGAAATAGTCCACACCATTCTCAGGGCATTCATCAGCGAAGGAATTGTATCCAAGACAACATTAAACCCAGTGCCATGTGTTAAAATCTATTTAATGTATTGTGAATAAGATGTCATGAAAGGATATAGATACATATTCTATAAGATAACATTTATTCTAAAGATACCTGAAGTTAAGAAAGTGTGTGACATTATTAAAAAAATAACCCAGTCAAGGAAACACCCTAGTGCCTAAGTAACATGCATGGTTAGGAATGTGCAAATCTGCATGTATTAGTCCAAATGCTTTTTAGGTCCTGTCTCATTAAAATTCTCTTTCTGTAAAAGCTGTCCCAAGACTGGCTTTGGCTCAACTCTTTATTTGGATGTTTGGATGATCTTCAATAAAACTTAAAAATTGAGACATCAGCTGTAATCAGTGTTAGAAGCTACCTCAAAAATGCAGTAGAGAAATCTTTGTTTTCCCCAAATCAGCTATGCTATCAAATTCTCCCAAGGCTGTGATTCACAAACCAAGCTGTTCACAGCTCTGGGCTTCTGCTTTCAAACACTAGAAGAACTGTAACTCAAATAAAACAAGCAAACCTTTTTATTTTTTTAATTAAGTATAAAAAAACCTAGAATATATCTTTATTGCTGATAAAAAGTAAAAAATAAACAAGAGGTGATTATATCAAGAGAGAAGCCAAACTCAGGTAACTACAGTCAAAATTTCACAAAGTTTTCTTAAGGATACGTACCTTCAAATGGCGTTCAAGAGTTGAAAGAAATTTAACATTATCTAGAGCTTCCACATGATGTTTTCTGAGGTCACTTATGACTATCTGTAAATCTCCAACATGCTCAGATTCAGCTTTCTGTAATATTTCCAAGACTTTTTGCACTTCTGGAAGCTTTGTCTGTTCAGTAAGAGCACTTAAAGTATCATTTCTTTCACACCAGAAGTCAATTTCTGCAAGCGGACCATTACCCTACAAGTAATGTGGAATAAAATAAAAATTCTAAATGCAAGAGTGAAAACCGATAACCAGGACTATATTTGTTCCTTCTTTGCAATATGCTGTATACTGAGAAAATACTGAGAAAAACCTGATATGATTCGACCATGCAAAAAACCCAGACAGAAGAAGATCCTTGCGATCAGATGAGTTTTACACACACTGAAGGGAACTGCTCATGGGGAGTATATCCCTGAGTTGGAGCTGGAGAGTCCATGTTTGCAAAGCTTATGCACAAGTAACTTTGTAGACATGAAATCCCTCAGTACGTTTAATGGTATTACTCATATGTGTGTTTGCAGAATCAGAATCTTACAACTGGAATTTTTTTTTGTTTGAGAGAGATTACTTTTTTCAAGCAAAAATATAGTCATATATTTAAAGAAAAAAATCACTGCAGATTCCTCACTACTTTTGTTCTACTTTACGTCAATTAGTATATGGCTTTCAAACATGAAGATGAATTAACAATGAGCACAAACCATTCAAAGATATTCTTGTGGGGAAATGAAGTGATGTCTCTGGGAATAAAAGCAGCTTGGTGTTATATGTTACGTTACCTGTGGAACCTTCTTCAGTTGTTCCTCTAGAGGTGTGGATATTAATTTCTGCCAGGTCACTGCACAACCTTCCAGAGCTTCAACAACTTCTGGAACTGTGGCAAGAACAGCCACTTCTCCATCTAGATTTATAGTTGGCATCTCCAGTTTAATATGTCCTATTAGAAGGAAAGGCATGTAAAATTAACTGTCTTGTTCCATCAGCATTGGTAAGGCAACATCACTGAAATGGCTTGTACCTTGCATCTCAATAGCTACTTGAGGATAGGTAACATACCACCTGCTCTGCCTATTTGAGAATATGGCAAAATGCGTCCAGTTGCTTGACAGTTAACACAGTGCAAAGAAAGATATATTCCTAGAAATAAATGAAAAGCTCTCAGCTCTCAAACCTTAACCCAGTCTCTAACTATTAAGAATTAGGATTAGGGCTTTGCTGAAGAAAATTATCAATCTGCCTATTATAGGCCACTTCGCCCTCCTTAATGGCATGACAGTAGCCCCTGTCAGAGAAGGGATGCTAAACAACACGGGAAAGTCTCATTCAGTCTACCACTTTGTATACCCTGCTACGGCCTGAGTCCCCTGAACATCGGTAGGCAATGAGGCATGTTTACCCTCTTTCCTATTCTTACTCCAGACTGTTTGAAAGACTGACACTGATTTTATTCATTTCTCCATAATGTCTGCTGTGCTTCAGGGCAGTAAAAATACTACTGTTATCAGCAAAGAGAAACTTTAATTAGCTCTGGAGCTTCCTTAGAAACTGTATGTATTTGTTATTCTATATAAAGCCATTCCTAGGTGAACCTCTTTCTACTGTCATGTACTCTAAACAACACAGTGCTGGCACAGGCAGAACACTTGCCTACAGTTTGTTGTGCAGTCGCCTGAGTAGCACTGAAGAATTTTTGCCTGTTCATTCGAATCTCATTCCTCATCTCAGTATTACAGGATTCCACAGGCTGTTCTTCCTTTTCTGCAAGCTCAGTCCTGGGTAAATTCTTTTTTTCAGAATCTGTGTTTTCACTATCCGAAGGAAAGGAAGTTTCCTCAGCCTGCTGCTGACTATAGGAAAGAGCTGGTGAAAACACCTATAATTCAAACAGGTACCATAAATTAGATGGTTCATATCAAAAAAGAAAACAATAGAAGTCAGCTTACTAGCAATTCACTTAAGCATTGTTGTTCTAAAATTTAATTGAATTGCACCTCCTTCCATTTCACCTCTTTAGCATCATTCTCTCTGCCCCAAGTTCTGCAGGGGAATAGCTCCAGCATGCTTTCACAAAAGTCTTAGCACAAAAATAAATGTATTTGGTGTCACACTCTTAAATGTTTCTCATAAAGGGCTGGGCAATGAAGTAATGCCTGTCTCCACATCCTTAAAAAAAAAACCTGGGAAACAAAATATCAAGTAACGATTAACAAAAACTTCATTATGGCATAGGAAGGTGAATATTAGTATTTTTAACGTATAGTCTATATGGTCAGCAGAATACTAAATAGGAAAATCATAGAAACACTGAAGACTTCATGTATAAAAGCTGTAACACATTTACCTGTGAGATGGCATTCTTTAGCATCAAAAAAGTATCATCAGTCAGTACACCAAACTTTATTACTTTAGGAAGAATCTCATTAGCTTCAGTCAGGTCATTAGGTTCAGTAACTCTTTCTAAACAGTATACAAACAATTAGCATAAATCAAATCATTTGATACAGAAAGCAATGATTAAAACAATAGCATAAAGTCCTTTCTATAATAAGTTAAAACTCCAATAAACCAACCTGTTTATCACAAACTAGATTTGATGCAAATCACTTTCAAAATCAGTGCTGGTTTTAATAGTGCAGATGCTTTTTCAGAAAGGGCAGAAAAAAATACTTAAGTGTTGTCATCTGACTCCAAGTCTTTACAATCCAACCTTATAGTTCAGAAATGCTTTTCTGTTCAAACAAAACAGTACCCTTGATTTGAACTCCTATTCTACAGACCAGGAAAATCTTGCACAGAACTGCCACAAAATGACAAAAGACATTATCATAATTTTTTTCCCCCCTCAAATGTCCTGTTTCTATAAAAACTGAAACTAATAGGCACATACAAAATACTCTGTAGCTTCAAAGCACGTATGTTGCTGCTTGGTGAGCCCATATTAATGTTTGTGCTGGGACCAGTCTCTGGCACTACAGTAGAGTTCACAGACTGCTGATAGATCTTGGATATAGGTGTGGAAATACCTGTTTGTTTTAGTGTAGAAGCTGTTGCCTATGGGTATAGAGCTAGATACTGAGGTCCGATTGCAACCAGAACCAGAGCTACTCCAGATGCTGGAATAACGATTGTCATTGGGTTTATGATAAAAGTATGAACTAGCAGAATAACACATGCTGCTGTTGTGTATCGGAATTTGAGTCAGGTCAAGAATTCTGATACCCTAGTTGTGCTTATTACCACCTTATGGTCTAGTTTTCACATATGGCTCCTCATCCTCAAAACACTTTACACAGTTCTAGCAGCTGTAGTAATTAAACCTTCTTAGTTCCTTAGTGTAGCATGAAAGCTGCACCCTTGCTGGTAAAATGCAGAAGATAGGTAACTTCCCATAAATTTCATATGAAGAGCATTCCTGATTCCTGGTTCTACTCTGCGAGTATCACAGTTAATTAAGCTGGATATGCAGTATCCTGAATCCCAGTCACTATCACCTTTTCTCAATGTGAAGTACTGATTAATGCAGACTGAAAACTCCGAGCCTGCAGTTATTCAGGGCACATACCTTTGGTGTCTCTCAGAAAATACACAGTAAAATCTGACACAAATTCTTGAGGAATTTCATCAAGAGCTACATAGAAACACACTTTGTCAACTTTCCCTTCTTGTAGCTGAAACAGAAAACAGAAAGGAAGCATGACTATTACCCTTTGCTGCCACGTTTCTTAACAGGAAGAAAATGTTTGCCTGCTGTGAGCAATAGGACAGAATCACTAGTTTAACTCCATTATCTTCACATTGCTGTCCAAGTAAATTACTAACATAAATGAAATGTTAAAAAATCACTCAGCCAACAGTAAAAATCATCAGCTTTGGAAACAATGTTGATTTCCAGACCAACAGGACTAAAAGCATTAGTGCCTGAAACATAAGAAACCAGAAAGCACTTAAATGCCCGGCCCCCCGTCCGTTCCTGAGAATGTGCAAGCACCTACTCCCCTTCCACCTGCATCTCAGTCATAAACCAAGTTTAGTTAGAAACCCCAGACTCCATCCTGACCATCTAATTAGGTGAAAGACTTGAGGTACAAAAGCCTTTGTTCACTGTTCCTTATGTGCTCCTCCCATGGTGTCTTTACCTAGCAATTATTCTAAATGTAACTTTGCTTTTACAAGCAACTCTGGGAATAGCTAATGTGGTACCTGAAAAACCTTCTGCTGTGTTTTCTCACCAAAAGTCAGCTTTTTGCAAAGTAAATTACCTTTGCAATGTCTTGTCAGTCAATGTCAGAGGCTGTGGCAGACACCACAGGCCACTGGTTTTGAATTGAAATTCCTGTTCTCATAAAATGTTCTGTTCTGCTGTGAGTACCTGCTCTGCACTGTACCTCCTTAATTTGCCTACCAGTTTTACTGAAACATTTGCATCAGCAAGCCAGCATCTTCATATCCACAAAAGAACAGACTGATATACAACACACTTACCTGTGGTATGTGTTCCATACTGGCAGCTGTAAATCTTTGTTCCAGTTTACTCAATTCAGACCCACTAGAGAGAGTTGATACGTGACCTGACACACTTTCATTGTCTGTAGATTTCATCCCTGAGAAATAGCACAAGGGAACTCAAAAAACAGCTATGCCATGCATGCAAACTTTATTCCATACTGTCTTTTCGAAGGTGCACCATATCTTCTTCCCCTTTCAGCACAGACTTCTGGACACTTAAAAGAAGTGGAAAAGGCATAGCTGCAAGCCCAGCTGGAAAGGTCATGCCTTTGCTGATATTATTATCAAGCAATAATAATTCTCCCTGTCTTACTGCTTTTGAGCATTAATCTCCAGCATTGCAATTGCCTTCATCCAGAGGCGCAGAGTGGGAATTTAGATTGTATCACTCCTTTAGTCTACTTACATCCACACCAGGCTTTAGCACTTAATTTTTGTGGTCGTATCTTTTTGCCCAGGATGAAAAATATTCTTTAATGGGTATAAAATACCAGGCCATGACTCTGCTTCTGCAAGTAACTGTTTCAGAAGCTTGTGGGAGTGACACAGATACTGACAGCACAGATGAGAACTGAATCTCTGAGCCACAGAAAAGTATTGCTCTCTTCTGACACCCTTTCTATCATTTTTCCTTTATTTTCTCCCAATTTTTTTGTGAAAGTCTTCTCTGCAATACTGTGGTTAAAGTATTGGACCAATTTTAACTCTTTACAGGACCACTTTTATTCTCAGTAAACTACATCAGAATAAAGAGAAGAGCTCGCATGTCTGAAGGAGAATGAATTAATTCCTACTAAAGGGAACATATCCATTCTATGTATTTTAATAAAATTAATCTGTAACAATCTCAGGCAGTAAAAGATATCATAAAGGCTGGATGGAAGATCTGTGTGTGAGGGTTGATTTTGTTCCTCCCAGTCAGTTTCTTTATTTCCATCTGTTTGGAAAAGATGAAAGAGCCAAACTAGGATAGCTTTCTTTCAAAGGAACAACCTGAGGCAGAAGCTCTTGAGAAAACATTAATTACCCACGCTGCCCAGGACACTATCCACAAAATCAGATCTACTTTCCAGGGAAAAGAAGCTGTCAGTGTTACAGATGCTAGTGAATCTGCTCAAGAGAGCCATGTTAGCCAGTCACACTTAGCTCCCGTGGCACTATGGCCTGCAGCAACGACACTTTGGCCACCCAAATCACCTACTTCCTTCCAACACCACAGAGGAGGCTGTTTCAGTCGACTGCTCAGGAAATGTGTTATCTGGGCCTTCCTCCTGCTGCTCATCTGCAAACTCGGCTGTGTCACCTGCGTCTGCACACACACAAAATGGCAGCAAAGCATTATATAACCACTCTGTAGTGGGGATGGTGCAAATCCCAGCAAGGTGCAACCAGAGAGGAGAAAGATCAGGGAAATGGGTGGGATAGGAGTTCAGGACTAGACACAGCCTAAGGGAGGGAGAGGCAGGGCAATGGGGCTAAAACTCAGGAGATGGGACAAATTGAGGGGTGAGGGGTAAGAAACAGGGAGTTGGGGAGGGAAGGACAGAGTGAAGGGGCTCAGTGCCAGGCAGTGCCCTGAGGCGGGCTCGGCAGGCCAGGGCAGCGGCGGCCTCACCCGCTGCCTCCTCC